CTTTCTCCCTAATATCCCATCTAACCCTTCCCTCTGGAAGTGGGAAGCCAGATCCTACCATGCCCACACCTCCCAAAGCCAGGTGACAGATGCAGATTTGGAGGGTGAAGGAGATATTTACAAATAATTCCCTGGGTTTATAACCTCATAACCAGGGATCTAAATGAGCTCCCCATTGAGAGGTCCTGAACAACCCATAAACCTGAGGGTTGATGGCAAAGGTATCCTTTGTGGTAAAGGAATCATCCTGCCACACTGCCATTCTGGGAATACTGGCACTGACCTGTGCATACCTGGCTCTGGATAAACCTGCAGATCCAGCTCAGTCCATGGCAATCAGAGCAGCCCTGTTACCCACTGGGATCCAGCAACTGAAAAGCAACATTTGAAATGTGGATTAACAGTGTTCTAGGGGGTGGGCACCACCAGAGGGACAGTGTCCAGCTCCCCAGAGACATTGTCCAGCCTGGCTGACACACGGTGGCACAAAGCAGAGCTGCATGACTGTGGTAAGCTGCAAGGCTCAGGCTCAGCTCTGACTCATAAAGCCAGGAAAAGGAGTTCTTCCCAAACAACAGCACCTTCAGCCCTTCAGAAGCTGCTCCAATCCACATGGGAAAACCTCCTGCTGGACCTCAGAATGCCAAGGAGTCAATTCCTAATCCAAAGGCCAGCAAGCTGCATCAGCACCACAGGGCATGCATGATCTGGTTACACTTGTGCAAACACCTGCACCAGCAGTGATACACACACCTATGCATTTAACATTTATGTTTTCCCTGGCCTCAGCTGCCAGCATAATGGATTGGGAATGCACATTTAAGGTAGAAAGCATTCCTGGAAACTGGCTGTTCTTCAAAGGCATATTTACTGGATGTTCCAACAGCCACAACTCAATAAACATACAGCAATATTACATTGGCTAAAAATATCTGGGATAAGAGAGAAATTCCCATTGCCATTTTATTTAAGATTTTTATCAATGATCTGAATGACTATATAAATCCTTGTCATGGGAGAGTTTGCAGATGCCAGTGAGATTGGTGGGAGGGGAACAAGAAGCAGAATTGGGCTATCAATACACTGGGATCTGACATGAGTGAGAGCTGGCCACATGCCAGTGAAACATGATTTAAACTGTCACATACAAGGTAAGAAATCTGAAACAAGAAACACAGGTTACACTCACAGGATGCTGCCTCAGAAAGGAATAGTTTGGAAAAGGACTTGGAGGACACTGGAGATTTGCAGCAGCCCTAAAGCTGCCATAAAGGGGGACTGTGATCCCTCAGATGGATGATCCCAGCAGGAAGGATTCCTTCTGGCACACAGCTCCAGGAACTTGCTGGAAGGCCATGATCAGGCTCTGTTCCTTCCTTAATGGAGAAAGGGAAAATACAGGAGCAACTCTGCAAAGCCAAACAGTGACTCTGAGGCTGGGAAATGGAAGGTGCCCAGCATTCTCCTGAAGGAACCCAAGGTGTCAACTTGTCAAGGATGTGACTGAGACAGGACCTGGTCACTGCTCCAGGCACTGATATGGGATGGCAGTTGGTGGGGAGGGCTTTTGGGAACAATGATATCTCTTCCAAGACAATTGCAAATTTAACCTTGAAGAAACCTAACAAAAACATCCATGGAGGATGTCCAGCACTGGAAGAGCTTCCCAGGGCACCAGGTGAAATGAGGAGGTCAGGTGTTTTCCAGAAGGAGCTCTTTAACTCACCTCTGGAAGAAATTATACAGGGGGTTGGTTACACTCCATGTGGCTGTGGGAATCCCTGGATTTCTACACTGGAGTCTAGTCCTTGCATAAACTGTGTGGAGCAGGCTTCTCTTTGTATTGGAAGGAATGGAGGAAGCCTGTGGAATGGCTCAGGCAGCCTGAATGACTTTTTCTGGCTGCCTCAAACTCTACACGAGGGGATACTTCTGCTTAAGCTTTACATACTGTAAGTTATAGGGCTGTCTCTTCCCAAATTAAGCAAACAGAGATTCCCTCCTGCCGAGCTGAAAATCTCAGTATCAGTTTCTCCAGTCCTGAACGAATCCTCACCAGCCTGGCTCTGGAGAAAATGCATAAAGAACCCCCGTCTGCTCTGAGTTCCAGCTGGGGAGCCGCATGGATATCAACAAGGTTTCAGGGTGTAACAGAGCAGAAACCAGCTCAGCATGCTCATCTTCTCAAGCTAAGTCTGTCCTTCTGTTTGCATAGATTAGCCCTTCCCTGCATTCCCCCTGCACAGGATGCCAGCCTGGCCCCGGCAGCAGCGAGCCGCGAACAGCGGGCGGTCCCGCTTCATCCAGCACCAGCTCCCACGTCCCCAACACTGGCAGCTTTTGTTCTCCTGTTCCTGGCTGATCTCTCCAGCCCGTCTTACATTCCTCCTTCAGGGCCCCCTCCAAAAGTTACTCCACAAAAAAGGATCCTGCTTTTCTATTTCAAATCCAGTCCTGGCATCGGAGCAAAAATAAAAAGCGATCCATCGTGGCACTGATGCACAAAGGTCTTTTTCCATCTCTCCCTCGGTTTTTGCAAGCTGAACTGTCACAAGCAAAAATTCAGCTGCTGTTTGGATACACAGGGAACACGTAGACTCAGGCAGTGGGATACAAGGAGTGTATTTCCTGGATAAAAACGGAATCCATCGAGTAAACAGATCTTACCTGTACAGCTTCCTGCAAAGCAAGTTAGGAGCTCGTGTCACTGGGTGAACTCCACTTCTCACTGCTCCCATTCAGTTCTGTGTCCCACTTGCCCTGTGTCTTGGCTCCTAAATCCCATGTCATCAGTGGCAACTTTTCCACCACAGACCACATCCTTGGTGGAGTACCAGGTCCAAGTGTCCTCGGCAGATCCAAGTCTGCCCAGACAGTGCCATCCCTTCCCTTGGGAGCCACAGCAATTCTAATAATGAAACAAGCAACTTCCTGACTGCGAGCTATTGCTTCCCTGGAACAACAGCATTTCAGAGTGAAAGTGTTATCAAAACAATAAACCAGGCTGTGCATGTCCAGATTAACTTTCATCTGCTGTTTCCGGGAAGGAGCAGCTGCTCTGACAGCTCCCTGCACGTCCCGTGCCTCTGCTGGTGTTTGCTTTATTGGAGCAGAGCAGCCCCTTTGAGGGGACTCTCCTGACCTTGCCAATTACTACAGTCAGGTCCAGGCTGCAGAACTGGAGTCCTTTCAGCTGTGGGAGGAGCCCCAGGGACCCAAAGAACCCACGCTGCTACTGAATGCTCCAAGCCATGGGGCCAGACCAAACCTATCCCAAGTCATTCCTCCCAAAACACAGAGTGGACCAGCACTGGGCATGTCACTCCCCAGATCTGTTCATATTGCATCTTCCTGCTTCCTAGTGCAGGCTGCACCTCTGGGAAGCCTCTCTGCCCCTGCTTGTCTCCCTGCACGACCTCATGGTGTTTCCCAGACAGCTTACACAGCCCCATCAGCTAAATCTCCCCCCATTCCACTCTGTTCGGGTACAGCTAAACAAGATTCCCATCAGTAGGAGAGGGAAGGTGGTAAGACTGGAGCTCCCAGTTTACCCACAGCTGTCAAGAGCAGCTGTGGCTGCCCCATCCCTGGAAGTGTTCCAGGCCAGCTTGGAGCAACCTGCTCCAGGGGAAAGTGTCCCTGCCCATAGCAGTGGCTGGGACTGGACAGGCTTTAAGGTCCCTCCAAACTTCAGCAGTCTGTGATTCCATGATTGTCCTCTTGTCTGTGAGTGAGTGCAGCCTGCAGAGGTCCATGCCCTGGGAGCTTGGCTTGGACCATCAAACCCTCAGACTTCTCCAACTCAGGGTCAGGCTCTGAATAAAAGAAAATCCAGAGCTGAGGTTCAGGAAGGGAACCGTGTGTTCTCATGCTGGAGGCCCTGAAGGAAGTGGAGGTGAATTCCCATAAAGAAATTACCAGGATCATTAAGGATTAATAATTACCTTTACATCTGATAAGCTATTGGAGCTTTAATTTCCTGCAAGGTTTTTGTGAGCTGTTGTGTGTATAACAAATTGTGTGTGAGCTCAGCCCGGCATTCCCGGGCTCTGATGACAGCCTGGTAAGATGTGCTCAGCCACCAGTTATTTTCCAATTAACGTGGAGCTGTGGTGTGATGAGTAATCATGCACAGAGAGGGAATCTTAATTTGCTTGCCCTTAGAACAGGTTACTGGGATTTTGAATGGGTGGCAAACAATTGCAAATCCTAACAAACCAAAATAACAGGGCCCTGGCCAGTGTCAAGTCTAATTTCACTAAACACCAGGATCATTACATTCTCCTGTGGTGGTTGATTTTGAACTGGCACCAGGAATGAGTTATTCCCACTCCGTGGGGATTTCAGATTTCATCTTTGCTTCTATCTTTGACTTATTGAACAGATTTATTTTCGGGGTTAGATGTTAATATTTTTGCCCTTCTGCTAATGACAAGGTTTGCAGTTCAGTGTCTCACTGGTGAAGGAATCAGGAGTGTGGCATCTGGGTATGCTGGAAGTGCAACTGGCCACCTTTAGACACTTCCTTTGGCTCAGAAACACTAGTGTTCTCCCCCTTTGCAGAAATCTCAGTTCAAAAGCATCACTCTTCTCCCAGAAATGAATTCTGCCTCGGGAACTGATTTAAATCAGAGACCAAAATAGAGGAAAAACCACTCTCCTGTTATTTTCACTCTTTCCCTGCTCAGAATCTCATGCGACAAATCAGCTGCTACTTACAGAACATCTCCCAAAACTGAGCTTTTTTCCTGGAGAGGCTGGGAGAGGAGGGCACGTCCCACTGCCTCTGGAGCAGCACAGTCAGCACACCAGTTACCTTCTATCAACCACTACTGGGCAAACCTTTATGGTGAGAGTGTCTTAAGGACACAAAAAATTTAAAAATCAAGGAAAACTCTCTCTGTGTCCTGCAGGTGATTTCTCTCCCCCACCCTCCCAGTACAAACTTCCCCAACCCCACCATAAAAGCCCCAGTTTGTACCTTGAGCTCTGCAACTGCCACGGAGCATCCTGGTCCAAGTCAAGATCATGCTTTCAGTCTCCCTGCATAATTTAGGAAGATTTTATTGCCAGAAAGTAATTTCTCTGCAAAGAAAGACCAGTAAGTCTTGCCTGATCCCTTTAGCTCTGTATAACTGCAAATTTAATGACCCTACATGCTGCCATGTCCTGTAAATCTTTAATAAAAATATTAAAGAGCCCCAGTAGAGGATCTGCTGCTCAGTCCTCTCCTCACTGACACTCACCTTGAGCTCCAAGCCTTCTTCCCAGTATTTTACCCCTTTCAATAATAGATTATTTTAACCTACGTTTAGGGAGTTTGGACCATAATCCATCAGGCAAAATTTTCTTAAAGCCTCATGGACAACCAGATAGATTTATACTATCTAGCCTGATAGTTATTTCATTAGTATATGTGATCAAATTAGTCTTACATGATTTACCTGCAATATATCCATGCTGACTCATTCCTATTACAGTAAATTTATTCATCCTAAAAAAAAAAAATTGAGCTGCAAACTAGCTGTAAATGAAAATTTTAGAAGAACAACAGTCCTCTGGAATCTCTGCCTCCTGTTATTATTTCTGTTGGGATGGAGCACAGGCATTGTGGGGTTGTTTTGGGAATGGGCTGGACTAAAAGTGAGCAAGAGGATACTGGAACAAGTGGAGGCATGAAGGAGCTGTGACTGCAGAGAGGGCAGCCACAGTCAAGGATTCTTGACTCCTTTCAGAGAGACACACAGCATGAGGAATTATGCCTGGCACAAGACACTCAAAGTGGGATTTATCAGATCTGATTTTCTACAGACCCTGACGAAGCACCTTGGGCAAAAGAGAGAGGAGCAGGTCCACCTTGGAGCTTCCAACCACAGACCCACCATTGCCTTCTACTTCTAATAAAACTACTAAGCTCACCTCCCCAAAAAACAACCAAAAAAAGCTGTTGCATGGCAAAACTATCTGTTTCTTACAGTTCCTTTCCCCATCGTGGTGGGCAATAATTGTCCTTCCCTGAAGGGTCTCCCCAGAGCTGAATGCAGCTGGCAGGCCCCAGGAGCAGGGATTGCTGTGGCACAGAGCACAGGCACTCACGGGGGCTTGGGCTGCAATTCCAGGGCTGCTCCTGTCCTCTTGTGCCACCTTTAGGCACAGCACCTTCCTCCCACCTTGAGCCTGCCTTGGTTAAACCTGAACTCTGCAGAGGACAGAGCAACTCGGGTCTCTCCCAGAGAGCTCTGGGCAAAGATGTCCAAATTTGCTTCCAGCTCTTTCAGTCAAAGCAGAGACTTTTCTTTCCTTTTGCTGTTGGCTGAACATTCCGTTGAGATTCCTCACACAGGATTTAAAGATGGGAGAGGAGGAAGAGACCTTTTATATGGGCAGGTAGTGACAGGGCAAGGAGCAATGGTTTTAAACTGCCAGGGGGCAGGGATGGATGGGATATTGGGAAGGAATTGTTCCCTGGGAGGGTGGGGAGGCCCTGGCACAGGTTGCTCAGAGCAGCTGTGGCTGCCTCATCACTGGAAGTGTCCAAAGCCAGGTTGGAAGGGGCTTGGAGCAACCTGGGAGAGTGGAAGGTGTCCTTGCCCATGGCAGGGGTGGAATGGGATGAATTTTAAGGTCCTTTCCAATCCAAATCATTCTGGGATTCGGTGACTTGGGAACTTAACCACATAACATTGGTAAATTTAATTTTGTCTAGGGAAGCATTTTTATATCAAAGCATGCTCATGAAGGCCCACTCCACATTCAGCTATTGGGTAATTTGGGTTACCACTTGAATCATTAAATTACATTTTAATTTCAGCCCTGTTCTCCAAGACAGTGAGGCTACCTTCAACATCGTGTTGAGAGCAAAGTCAGTCAAATGTGGTTTTTCTAAAGTTTTTAAATGGTCACAGTTGAGAGGTAAAACAAAGGTCCAGTCATTAAAGCATTTTTCACTATATAAGCCTCTGTCAAGCCTCCCCACTGATTGGCAGAGTAAAGTAATATAACCAGAGATGATATTTTTTTTCCTCCTACATAAACTCTCAATTTCTCAGGGAAAAGAAAAACCTTTTCAAGCTCTTAAGAGTTTAAAGAGCAATAAAGTTAAGTCTGACAGTCACTGAGGCATTTCCAGCCTGCTGTGTTGGATCAAGTGATGAGCTGTGTCCTCGAGGAAGGGCAGGTACCAGTGAGGATTCATCCCTGACCAACCGGCAAAATTCAGTGTAACTGAGGCTGGTCCTTCAGCATCATTGACTTTAAAAGGTTTTAAGCACATATTTAAAATTATGGGGGGCTTTGATAACCTGGGACTTTAGTCAAATCCAAGGATGTCTCTAGGGAAGGAGGAGACACTGTCTCCAAGTGCAGGACACACAGGGGCACTCCATGAAACCCCTTAAGGAGCCCATAGTCTGTGCCCTATCAGGAAATCTGAGTCTCTTCTCGATGAGCACCATCAACATCACGGTAGTGCTGCAGGAACCTTCTCCTTAATTACACAAATCTCTGGAGCAATCACGCACTGTGTAATTAGTCCCAAAATGAAGTATTTCAGTAACTTGCATTTAACAAGTAGTACTGCCATCCTCATTGCCAGCCAGTGTTCAACCACCATAAAAAGATGTTCTTACCCAGGAAAACAGATTTTTCCTGCTTCTAATATGCTGCAGATTGGAAAATTTTTCCAGGCTTTTCTAACATCAAGTCCTGTGTCCTTACAGATCTCAGGGTCAGCACTGACAAGGGAGCTTATCAGACAGAATGATCTCTGGAGCAGGTTCCCAGCTGGATTAAGCACTGCTGTGAATGGAGGAAATCAACCCAAAAAATAACAGGGAAAATGACAGCCTTCCTGCCGTTTGACAGAGATCTTGCTTTTCCCTTTTTTCTCTTGTACACGTTCATAATTTTGTAGACAGGTAATTACATGTCTGATGTAAAGACCACCCCTCCTAATTCAGGCTTCAAAGCTGGCAGAATTCAGTTGCAATTTCATCCTAGAAATCCCAGATCCAGCAGAAATGCAGCTGGGTGGAGGTGGAAGATCTCACTCCCAATAGAGGTATTCAAGTGGGAGACATGGAATCAGCCACAGAGCTGCTGCTCTTGCCTTTACCTTCATGCTCCAAGCACAGGGGAGACCTGAAGGAATGCAGATCTAGGCTCAGTTCTCCCACAGGACAGCGATCCAGGCCACCCCAGCTCCCACCTGAGCAGGACAGCACCCAAGCTGCTGAATTAAGTGGGGTGAACCAGGATCACCCCAACCCCAAGCCTGTTTGCTACAGGCAGCTCAGCATCCCAGCCCTGCCGTTGCCATCTCTCCCACCCCGACTGTGGCAGGGGCAGAGCCAGCTCAGTCTGCCCAGCCTCCCTGCCCAGGCGTGCCCTTCCTTCCCCACGGAGCCCCACAGCCACATTCCCTTGGACTGAAAAACTTCTGGCAGGCAATGGCTGGCAGCCATGTGGGCCAGTAAGCACATGTTATTTGGGGAGGGCAGGAGTGAGGAACACCTCAGAATTTAGGGCATGGTAGCCCAATGTTCCAGCTTCCTCTGAAGCATGGAGTGGACTCTGCTCAGGAGAGAGCTGGTGCAGAATTCAGAATCACAGAACATTCTGAGCTGGAAGGGACCCACAAGGATCATCGAGTCCCACTCTTAAGTGAATGGTCCATAGAGGGGTAAAACCCACAACCTTGGCATTATTAGCATCATGTTCTGACCAACCGAGCCAATCCTAGTGAAGAACTAAGGGAATTTTCATGAGGACATGGGCCCAGAGACTCTGCTCCGTTATCATGAGCTGGTCTGGGGGCGTCAGAGCAAGAGCTGCACTGCCAAGGCTGCCAAGATCAGGTGTAAATGAACACATCAAACAACCAGAGAAAAAAGCAGGAGTGGAGTGAACAAACATTTGCTTTAACAACAGCTTCTTCTCACCTGGATCTTGTCAAAACACCTTTATCTCATCACCAGCACTGCTCAGCATCAGCGCTGTGCCATCCTAGTAGGGCAAACAAACCTTCCCACAAGATGTGAACATAAAGGGGAAAAATAAAAAAACAGCTTCTCTGGTTTTCTAGTGGCAGGATGGCCAGTGGAGAAAACTGATATTCCCTGAACAAAACCAAAGACTAGATAGGAAATGAGCCCTGAAATTACCATCAGACATTTCCCTGTCTAACAGACGCTTGTTCTGGAGGTCTTCAGTCATTATTATTTCAGGGCTGTGCCTGGCATCACTTCCTTTTGACACATACACACAGAAAACAAGCCAGAAATGTATCCAAACTGCTCCTAAGAAGCTCCAGCCCTGGGAACTGTTCCTCTGCAGCCCAGAGATGTGCTCACACCGTTACTATTCTTACCACTTTCCCAGCACCTACGTTGGATATCCCTTGTTGTTAAGTCCCTTCTTGCCCTCCCAGCACAGACCCATCCCTCCCTCTTTGCCAGAGCATCATCACCAGGTGCTCTCTTGCCCAAACACGCCCAGTTCCCTCTGTCTGCTCCCCAGGCAAATGTTCTCTGGAACTATGATTGCTCCAACATGCTGCTCGTCTCTGTTGGTGTGTGCACCTCCTGTCTCCCCACTGAGGCAAGGACTGGTTTACAGATCTTTCAAGTGCAATTTCTATTTTATAATAAAATAAAGAAATAAAATAAAAGATAAATGAATAAAATAAAAGATCAGGTCAATCAGAGACATGGGGAAAAAACACACAGGAGCCCTGTCTATGCTCAAACACCCAAAGAGCAAAAGCCTAAAATACGCTGTGGATGAGAAGACAAAACTGAGAGCATCACAACTAAATTGGGATGTCTGGTCACTTTAGCTCTGTCACAACTGTACCCTGCTGGTGCTATTGAAGCCTCTCAGCTGCCCTTTAGCAGCAAGTCCCTTTCTTAAGCTGCCAGGCCTTTGTTCCTCCCCAGAATAGTGTCCTGCTCGTGCACACAGGGGCAGGGCAAGGTTGGACACTATGCACTGCATTGTACTGTCAGCCTAAATAGAAGCTGATGGGATAATAATTAATTGCAGTCTCCCTGTAATAAAAGACAAGACAAAGCCAGAGATATAAATAA